GAGTTTAGGGCTTAAATCGTACGGCAGAGCTATACGAATGCCTAAAGAAAAGGTGGAGGATTTATGTTGCGCTAGGCAAACAACCTCGAAAACCTAGGGATTGTTGTTTAGTTTCTAGGAAAAAGGGATGGTTTTGTTGAGGAAAACATGTTCTGCTGTTGAAGATGGCCGTGCTGCCCACCGCGCTAGCTCCAAATTCCTCAACATGACGAGTTTAAGTTTTTTAGGATGTCCAGTTATAGTGTTAAATCAAACGGCCCTATGGTTGTAGTCCTTTAAACATCCTATGCAAAAATGAAACATGCTTGAAGTTATATAATATAAAGTGTGCAACACAGGAACAAACAATATAATCCACGTGCAACAGTAGTAGGCAAAACAGGAGCAGTATAACATGCTATACGAGCAGAAACAGTAGCAAGTAAAAACAGAAATGGTATAACATGCTGTATAAGAAGAGCAGCAGCAGGGAAAAACAGGAAAATTAATTGTTGTAAAATGTAAAACAAACTTGTATGCCCGTGAGATCCGCTGTTCCTTAAGTATAGCAAACATAAATGCATCTCAAAAAGTAAATTCCGAAGGAAACGTCGTCCAGGAAACCAGAGGAAAAGCGGATAAACTCGAGAAAATCAACGAAAAAGACTCAAGTAAAAAAAATCCTCAAAACTCCCGGGGAAATTCCAAAAGAAAGGAAAAAAAGTAACACGAGTGCTCTGTGCTCTGTCCCAAAGCTTCGGTAAAACAAAAAAACAAAATTCGGATAAGGGGGGCCGCAAACACTCGTATGAGACTAGGCTCAGTTATATTTATTCTCGAGGATCCACGAAGGCTACAACCGAATGTAGAGGACCCGTCACTCGTCTAGAAGTGTGTCTTGAACCTCACTTAGGGGGGGCTATTTCCCAGCCTAAACAGGTATTCGTCAGGTGGACAACGTATTTTAAAAACATATTTTAAAATTTATATTTTTGACATACACATAAATCTTGAAAAAGATTATCAAATCTTGTTTTATAAAGAAGAATGTATTTTATATTTTGAAATAGATTTTAGCAATTTTTATTGTCCATAAGACGATTATACTGTCAGGCATAGGATCGTCGACCGACTGAGGAGACTCGAGCCAACTCCCGCTAGACTTATGTCGGTAAAGGATATCATATCCTATTATTCATCAAATGCCTGGATCTTGATGTTATAGGA